TTTTTGAGTATTTGTGGGTATGTAATCTTTACTCATAGTCAAATGTCAATGTCGTGCAGTAAGTTGCAAAAACGAGCTATATAATTGCTGTTCTACGGTGGCTACTGTTCTATGGGGATGGACGTTATGTGAATGGATCCCCTTTTTGTTTCTTTAACTTTTTTGGTGAACACATGTAATTACATCACTATTTTAAATCTGGCAAACATTTATGATGAATTTAAATTGGCCAAGATGGTGTGTATAGTCTCAAGCTGATCTAATGTATCAAACTGGAATAGTCATTGGGATTTTGTGATGCAATTTCTGATACATCGATACCATTAAAGCAGTACCATTCTGCACAATAGGCCCCGGGAAATGTCTTCCAACTGGATCACCCTCAAGTGGTCTCAAAACACGAGAAATCCGTATTTCCTCTAATTTCCAGTAGCTAATATCAAAATATAGCTTGACATATATGAAAAACTTGCTGTCTGGGACTTCATTTATACTGGGTCTTGAGCCTCAGGAACCGAGAGATATCTTACCATTCCAGTTTGGTAATTAAAAGCATACCATCTCTTTGGTTATGTTATCTATCATTTTGTTTCTTATTGTGTATCTATGTGGGGATTGCTCCTATATGTAAAGATTTGTTGTTCTTATATTCCCACTCCCCTTATTAAGCGCTTATCTGGTGCAGTTTACTGGCTGAGGGATGCTTCTTAGCATTAAACCAAGTCCTAGATGGATACCTCATTTTGTTACAAACCTAAAATGTGGGAATAAATGAATGGATTCTTATCATTTTGTTAAACCTATTTGGTTTTTTTTTGAAGCTGTTATTACCTTTTTATTAAGAAAAGGTGTACAGGTTACAAAAATGGCCTCCCACAGGCCAGGGCTAGTGACCAAGAGACCCACTTAGAATGGGCTATACCAAAGTAAATGGAAGAGGGGTTTGATAATCACAGAAGCTATACATCTCAGTTAGTGATATAAAAAAAATGGAACCAAGAGCTTAAAAAGGTGCAAAAGTGGTTCCAGTAGATGCTGCATGGCTGCTAGCTCCTTGTCTAGCAAGTGTGCTGTTGCGTTCGCTTCACACCATATATGCTTCCATGAGACGTGCACATTCCTACAAAGGTGCAAAATTTCATTCAAAAGTGAGCAAGTCTCCACGGGCAGTGGGCAGAACCTGATGCCCAAGATATTACGTTTCCGGAAGCACCTCTACAGTGAGGGTAGTGCCCCCAGGTAGGGTCGGAGTTCTTGAGGCCTTCTAGGAGTGCAAGGGTCCCTGCAGTAGTGGAGTCGGCATGGCCGATGAACTTGGAGTAGAAGGGAATCTGTCTTTCATGGTCCTGAAAGATACTCCCAAGATTTCAACCGTATCTGTTCTGGGCTTGTTAAACCTATTTGGCTATAGTAACATTTTGTTTCTTATTGTATATCTGTTTGGGATTGCTCCTATACCTGCAATTTTATTGTTCTTTAATTTCCACTCGTTTAAATAGGCGCTTCTCTACTGCAGCTTACTGGTGCCACTGCCATATTGGCAGATTGAGGCTTCTTCTCATCATTAAACCAACTCCCAAGTGAATCCCGCACTTCATCGCAAACCTAAAGTGTAGGAATAAATGTACAGATTCCTCATCATATTGAGATTTGCTACTCAGTAATCCTGGGCATGATTCTTTAAGTGCTTATGGATAGCTGAATAGGTTGTCTAAAAGTACCACAAGAAGAGCATCTTGGACACTTCTATCACATTGCGCCTGAGGAAATACCTAAATTATAAATGGGTTTTTCTGAAGAAGCATAAACATCACTCTGTACTTGCTAGGACATTTTGAAGTATACAACATTCAATTTCCCCAAGCATCCTAATGAGCTCAAGGCCTGACTTTCTTTTAGTTGCATTCATTTTGAAAGGAGTAGAGCACTCTGCTTTTGATCTGGAAATGTGCAGCATGAGTCTCTTTAACTCTTCTCTAGCAGTGTGAAGATTCAATCGTGGTATACACCAGAATTCCTTCCAAATTCAGTTGCAGGCTTGGTCTGAACATTTCTCCAGGTGCATTCGTTATGGAAATGAAGTGTGGAACAGTGTAATTGGTGTTCCGGCTAGAATAATGTACCATGAATCCAGCGGTTTTTTTTTACTCAACCGAGGCCACAACTGAAATCTCTTTGAATTGGAAAAAAGGGCTTTATCTCAATGCTCTGATCATGAGATGATCAATAGCGCTGTGGCACTCTTGTGCCTTTACATTATAAAAGGGTTCCGTGCCCCTTTCCAAACATAATGTAGAACACTTCTTGTCAGCAGCAATTTTACACGCGTTTATTTGGTTTGAGGGCTCCTAAATGTATTGACTTGAGTATTCCAAGTGTGCCCTATTAATATGTCATCAAGCTAAGGCATTGTGGTCTGGGCTATTGAAATCTAATTGTTTTCCAACTTTTTATGCCAGTTATTCTTTTCTCAAGGAAAGGATGTCATCAGGAAACAGCATTATTTAGTTTCTATTTTTTTATCTTTGCTTCATCTTTGAATAGCTTTTGGTAGTCTTTGGCATTTATATCAATACTAACAGATCTGCCATTAGAGTCTAATTAAAAGAAGAAACACTTTTCTTTAATCTAATCATGTTTCTTGGGTAGGTTGCATCTGTCAATACGATGTACATTTCTTTGTTGCCGGAAGTGAAACATCTATAACAACAGGAAAAAGTTTATATGTATCAACCTTATGCTAGTGAAGTAAGGTGCACCTCAAAAATCTATCGAAAAAAGTTGTTTTGATGCTGTAAAAGCCTCAAATTGATCATCTCGACCTTGAGATGTATGGATATGAAAAAGGAAAGAATTTCAAGTCATGACAATAGTTCATCTTGTGAGGAGGCCCATTTTCAAAATTTTCCAGTTCCGCTCAGTGGAGTCACATGCAATGGTTTAAAAAACTTCAAAATTCTCTTTCTCAGACAAGTCTTTCCTCCTGGTCCCATTCCAAATACAGAGTTTTAAGGGAATTAGAAGCTCTAAGAGCCCATGTTTCTACTACTCAGAAAAATTTGCTCAATGGCAGCATCCAGTAAATGTTTCCTTATCCAGCTAAAAGCATTCTGATGCCAATAAGAGTTTACAACTCTTAAAGTTTCCAACTCTTAAAGCTTGTTATGGGTGAAGTTTATATAAGGCATCAACCTTAAACAATCAAAGTAAGGTACACCTGAAAACTATGCCGAGGGATATAGTTCTGATGCCGGAAAGCCTTGCAATGGCATGAAAATCCATTGTCTCACCAAATTATGAAATTTAAAAGCTCAAAAATGGTGCAGACCCAGTAGATTTCCTGTTAAGAAAGGGTTGAATAAGAGCAAATCTGCCTAGGATGAAGGGTTGAATAAGAGCAAATCTGCCTAGGATGGCTGATTTTGACTAATTGGCTTACAAAGATTTGGACTGGCAGTGAATAATTTAGAACACTTGTCTTGTCATGCCAAACATTTTTTTTGTTTGTTGGGAAAGCGAAAGGGCCAAGGGTAAGGGTAAGGGAAAGGGAAAGGGAAAGGGAAAGGGAAAGGGGGGATTATTCTGGAAGGATTCAATTGTAGTGGTTTTTTTTTCTCAATTCTTATCATTGCTGTTCTTTTAGATCCTAATCACTTGGTCAGACTGGGATAGAGGACTGAGGTTCCAGACTGTGTATCACGTCATGCATTCTCGTTTTCCACTTGGGTAGTTGATCTTGTTCTATGAGTTTGTGTTGCTCATTCCTCTAGTTATTTGAACTTTGCCTTCGTGGGTCATGGGACACAGAATTGCCCAAATCATTTGGGGCGCCGATTATCATGATTCAGAGGCAGAGTCTTTTAGTGAATGACGAATCTCTTTTTTCACTTAGTTAGCTGGGGTTTTGCAAGTACCCTACCCATTGTATTCGTTGAAAGAAGATTGTATACAATTTTTTATATGACCATATGTTCGACTAGAGAGGGGCATGGTGTCCCCCTCTATTTTAGTGAATGCAAAATAAAGCTTGTATTTTTACTTTCTTTTCTATAATAGTTCCTATCATGACCGAGATAATATTGGGTTACAATGAATTGTGCCCACATAATCTGTGCCCTGACTAGTATTAGAAAGTTTTGTCCTCAGTCCACTCCTTTCTATTCAAGACCATAGTCAAGTGGTGCCTCCACTTACCTAGTAAGAGTTGGGACTCTTATCTTCCTTACTTTCTTGAGCTCTAGGGAGCTTATGTGCATGAATTTCACTGTATCTTCTTCAAAGTCTGGTTGCCTGCCTCCTGCTTCCAAGCCTGCGATTAGTCTCTCTGAGTTGGCTTGGTGGTTGCTGGGGTACATAGTGTGCTATTTGGAGAGGTGGCGTTCTGGTGAGCGTCACATGTAGGATACTATCGCTGAGTTATGTGTACTGGCTACTCTTTCTGTGATTCTTTTTTTAATTGGATTACTTTTGGGGTTGAGCGGAATCATCGAGCAGGTTGTTGTTCACCCCTGGGGCCCTATGTTGGTTTCATCTTTCTCCTTGTGCAAGGCTCTCATCTCTTTGGGTGGGGCTTTGTGCATATAAGCAAGTGAATTATCAATAGATGGAGACAATTCTGGCCTCGGGTGCATTGTGGACTTTGAATAGACTTCGAGTGTACAACCATCTGTGATGGTTTTATGAAGGAAAATGTTGATTTTACAATATGCAGTTGCTACGATCTATAAGGTTTGATGAGGTGGTAATGATCTTACACTCAGACAGGTGCGCGCGCACACACTTATATTATGAAAAGATCATCTCATTTACACTCTTTTAAATAGATCCAAGTTGGTTTCTTTATGGTCCCAGATCAGTTTTCCTTAATCTTTTAGCAGAAGAGCCAGACATTTCCTTATATCTCAGTGTTAGGAGAGTGTCAAGTGTCAACTGTTACAAGATTTAAGACATGGTCGAGGTTTTTGTAAGGAAACTCTATATTCTGTATTGATTTGTTTATTTTTTTCATTTGTTTGGTCCAGGGTTCAGATGACGAGCCATGTACAAAACTAGGGGCTCCCAAACATTAGGCTGTAGTCAGTAACTAACAACACCAATTTTCTTAAAATCTGAAGGGGTTAATTTGTGATTCCTGTTCAATGGTTTTCAACTGTTCCACAAGCTGGTTGAGGTGAGATTAAAGTATTTCCTTAATCTCAGCTAGAAATTCTCTCTTTTGTCTTTGTCTCTGGCACAAAGAGGCTTGTGCAGATTTACTGATGGAACTAGTTAAGCTAATAAGCACCATTAATTCGATTGACATCAGTAATTTGTATTGTTGGTTATGGTGTTTGCTGAAATTTTTAAACAATTGTTTAGAGTTGCAAGTAAACATATATATGATCCAAATTTTTCTTAGATGGAGTTATTAACCACTTGGAGGTTGTGAATGGTCCTCATTAGTTTTGTACTGATTTATATGGGGCATCAAAGGAGTTACAATATTTTGATGAAATTTATCTTTTATGCCATTAGACAAGAGTTCAATATTTTTTTGTTGATATCTTTAAATAAAAATTATCTGCCTTATTATCTTTCTGGTTTGCTCCCGACATTCATACGCAATGTGGATTTTTTATAGGTCATAGCAGCAACCAATCGAGCAGATATTCTTGACCCGGCTCTTATGCGTTCGGGTCGTCTAGATCGCAAGATCGAGTTCCCTCACCCAACTGAAGAAGCTAGGGCCAGAATCTTGCAGGTGTGTGGCTATTTGGTATTAATTTGTTTGGGAAAAGCTCACTTTTTGCCACCAAATTTTCAGCAAACATAAAAAATACGATCGGTGTATTTTGGATCATATAACTGCCACTTAAGTTTATATTTTCCTATATAAATGCCACATTTTTGGCTTTTCTAATCCTTTACTTTCGAAAATTTTCTTCCCTTTTTCCAAACTCCTTTCCCAAACCTTTTATTTCTCACTACTGAATTCATGAAAACCAAATGCTTTTCTATGCAAGCCTAACCAAATCTCTCGAAATCTACTCTCTTTTAGGCACATGTTTTGTCACCCTCCAGTTCTCTCCCCAAATCCAGAAATCCTATGCTTCATCCAAACCAAACCCAAAAACTTGAAGACATTCCTTCTCATCTCTCTGTACTGGAATCCAAGAACTGAATGCTCGCTGTTCTACCCAACAGCAAACCATGGATTCCTCCACCAAAAAACAGCAAACCATGCATTCCTTCACCAAAAAAATGTAAAAAGAAAAGAACAAAACCAAGCTCTCTCTCTCTACTCATTTCGTAAAGCCCCATCTCTCTCCAACCCAAACCCAGTTCAAACTTCAAAGTGGAGTCTCTCCCTTCCCCCCCCACCCCACAACAAGATCATCTCTCAACCCAAACCCAACTGAAAATTCCTACGTAGTCTACTCTCTCTCTCTCTGAGTTACTTATGATCCTACAGTTGGTTTGTAGAGAGGGAGATAAGGCTTTTGGATCGGGTATGGGTAGATAGAGAGCACCTATAATTTTTTGGATTGGGGTGATTTTTAATTTTTATTTCCTTTTTTACAGTTTTTTTAGGGGTGGGGGTTGTTTGGTTTGGGCTCTTTCAGAGAAGGATAAGTTTTTTGGAAAATGGCATTAGAGAAAGAGAAACTTTGGTGGCAGTTTTGAGATTCAAAATAAGGTTGGCAAAGCTAGGTTTGCCCAGGTTTATTTCTCCAAAAAATATATAGTTTTTCTCCTAAAAAATGTTTATCTGGTTATATTTGTTTCTTTCTGTGGTTTGTGTAGTGTCTTCTTTAACTTTAAATCATTGCAGATACATTCGAGGAAAATGAATGTGAATCCTGATGTGAATTTTGAAGAGCTTGCACGTTCTACTGATGATTTCAATGGAGCACAGTTGAAAGCTGTTTGTGTCGAAGCCGGCATGCTTGCATTACGACGAGATGCAACTGAGGTTTTACTCTGTCATACATTGTATCTTTTCTTTCGTTAGCTTTTAAATGGCCTGCAATCATTTAGATTGGCTTACATTCAGCTGCCATTTAAATGGGGGGAATTTTTCAAAATATACTTCACTTTTCAATTATTTAAATCAAAATAAAAAATCGATGGGTAAAATGTTAAATAGTTAATATCTTCGCTGTATTTTTACAAATTTCCCTTAAATTGTGTACGGGCTTGCATGGATGGCTAATTAGCTGCTGCAATTTCTGATTTTTCTTGTTAGAAAATACTTTAGTGTGAGAAGTAAATGATTTTTTCCTTCTTGATTCCTATGCTTTTATAGAAGGCTCTTAATGATTGTGTAAATTTGATTCAGGTTATCCATGAAGATTTCAATGAAGGGATCATTCAAGTTCAAGCCAAGAAGAAGGCGAGCCTAAACTACTATGCGTAGTTTGGAAAAAAAATGTTCTCAAGTACTGCTGTCTGAGAGAGCATTGGTTTTCTAAATGTTTCCCCTCATTTTCTATCCCCAAGCACACCTGCACATGCACACATATATTATCATCCATTCGCCTGGACACGGGCATCTATCTAAAGATCAGTAGAAGTTGGTATCAGTAGTGACTGATCATTAAATGTAATTGATCTTTTAATTTAATATAATATAATAGGTCTTTCGAAAATAATGTAATTTTTTGTTAAGATTCTTTACGAAAAGGGTATTTATGGTTTTGAATTGTGGTTTTGGGGCTCCGTTGCAAGAATGCCACAGCCAACAATGCCACAACGTTGTATCACCGTCCATTTCTCATTTAAGATGTTTTGATGAGCATGAATATGATCTTGCATATCTACTTATCTATGCATGTTACTGGTAAAAATGATGGTTAATGTGATTGTGTTAGAGAGAGAGGATGTGTTTCCCAAACTGGTATGCGAGCACAAGCATTTTTTTGATAATGGTTGGCATTTGCAAGTGGTACATAGGTTAGGCTTGAGTTCTTCAAAATCTGGATGTTTTAAGCGGTGACTTTTCGTCATCTGGCATGTTGGTTGATGAAGACAATGGGGATTTAAGCTATAAAATTTAGGTAGCAACTTTGAGTGTGCTCTTTTGTAGTTGACCAACACATGATGGGAATTTAAGCTAGGGAGTTGGTGAATGTTACGTACTCAAATATGGATTATGTTATTTTTATATGATTCTATGCACTGGGAGACCATTTATTTTTAGTACAAGGTCACAATTATTTATAGCTATCCGATGTGAAATTCGATAGTTTGCTTTTGTTACAAGGTTGGAGAAAATTTATTTTGAACTTTGAACTTGGTCAATAGCTTAAATGTAACCATTTTATTTCACGTTCAATGGTCAAAGATCAATTGTGAACATCTAGTATCCAAAATTAATGGGCTCATTGCATCTTTTTTTTATATTTATTTTTTATTTTTATTCACTGATAAAAAAAGTGGATTTTATTATGCGGTGGCATTAGGTCGACTTTGGCATAGCTGATCAAGATCAGTTTTCGCAAAATCGAATCGGAACAGTTAATCGGACATGGGATTGGAAGTGGTTTAATCGGGCCTAACATGTAAACCGGCCGATTCAATTGGTAAAAAAGTGTTGAAAAAATAAATACAAAAGACAAAAAAAAAATCTACTAAAATATGAAAAACATTCAACTGATAAAAAAGTGTTGAAAAAATAAATACAAAAGACAAAAAAAAAAACTACTAAAATATGAAAAACATAAAAAGAATGATTAAAACAAAACATATTCAAATGTAGTTGAAAATTAGTAAAAAAAAATGGATTTTAACCAAATTTATATTTTTCAAATGCTATTTTTAAATTTTTTAAAAAATATGAAAAACTATAAAAGTAAGTATTAATGACCAAACAATTTTTAATCTTGACCATAATGTAAATAATAATTTAAAATGCATTACAAATCAAATTCTTTATTTTTGATAAATTATATATACATTTTTTTGAATTTTTTTTATTTTAAAATACCGATTGATCACCCTACGCCCAAAACAGGAACCGGCCAGTGGCCGGTTACTATCTAATCGAGAGGTTAGCGGTTAGATCGAGCGTTTTTGCAAACAATGATCAAGACATTAATATAAATTTAAGCAATGATTTTAAAAAGATTATATCCTCAGTAAAGTCATATCTTTTCTTAGTACTTACGATCAATTTTTTTTGGAGCCTATCTTTGACTTTTTTTAAGTATTTCATTTGAACTAACTCGTATTGTGTAAAATAGTAAAAAACAAATTCCCAAAATGCGCTGCAATAAAAAAAAAAGAAAAAAAGAAAAAAAGAAAAAGCAATTTTCTCTCCTCGACTTCTCTTCTCTTTCTTTCTTATCCCATTGCTGGGAGTGTAAGTCAACTTGGTATGCAAAAGGTTCAAGCCCAAAGACTTGGTTGAGGATTCCCCTCGTGTTAGCACATTTTAGCTTCATCTTGGACAATTTGGGGTAATGGAAAGAAATATAACAGCTGATTTTTTGAAAACAAGGGGGGCCTCTTTCAATTTTAATAAGAGAAAATGGGTAGTGATCATATCAAGGACTTGTTCAAATTCACAACTTAAAGGGGCTTTTTTTTTTTTTGGGTAAGTAACTTAGAGGCTATGGAGTGCCTTGTACAAGTATCATTGAAGTTAGATAGATGCACCCACTTATTGATTTCAATTGGTTCCTTTAAAAAATTAAAAGAAACAGAGAAGATGATCTAGGGAGGCATGACATAGAACACATTAATTTTAAGGATACTATAAATTGGACGATATTGCTTGAGTTTCATTTTCTATTTCTTTTTTATTATGTACGGATTCCTATTTTGTTTGAGACATAGGAAAAATATCATCAGACTTGGCAAACATTATTCTACACTTGGGCAATAAAAGCGATTAAACTCAAGCTGCTCCCTCTCTCTTATATATATATATATATATAGAAGATACCACAAAACGTCTATAGATGAAAATGAACAGTGATTTCGCTTATTCTCATTGCCATCTAAAGTTCATCGCACTGTCACAATTGTTCCATAGTGTTTCATTTTTTTTTTACAAATTGGAATGAACTTAAATTCTGAGCGTGCGTTCATAAAAACTAGAAAAATTTACGAAAAATATCAAAAAAAATATTTTACATGAAATAAATTGACCAAAATACTACCCAAAAAGTTTCATAGATATTTTGATCAATTGTTTTTAACAAATTATTTTTTTTATATTTTTATTAGGTGCGTCTCATTAAGATGTAAATACGCTTCAAATTTCAGATCATTCTAATTTATAGGAAACAAATGAAAAATAAAATACTACCAAACAATTGTGACTATAAGATAAGCTTTGGACGATAATGATGATAGATAAAATTACTGTTCATATGCAATGAGCTTTGGACGATATGATGATTGATAAATTAGTGCTCATTTTCACTTGTAGACATTGACAATGATTTTTTTTACTTGTCAAAAAAAAATTCCAAGAATTAACATCTAATCATTGACTTTAAAAAGAGTCAACATTCCCCATAAATCCAACGATTGGTCTTCATTCTTCTTATGAATTAATGAAGATGCTTCCGCTAGCAGCCAAAGTTGATAAAATGGGAGAGAAGGAGTTGAAAATAGGGGTCCACCACGGGCACTTGCATAGAGAAGTCTATGTGGTAGTGATGCAAATCAAGATCGGGCGGTCCCACAAAATTTTAATTTTAGTTTTATTAATTTTTATTTTTAGAGTTAGGGGTGGATTGTTTATTTATTTTTTTAAGATCAATTTTTATGTGATTAATTGAGATTTGTTTTATATTAGTTTGATAAAGTTTATATTTTGAGAAGTATCTTTTCTTTATTTTTAATAGGTCCGTATCTTTCTATCACGTCATCCTTTAAATTTGAAGAAATAGAATGATATTTTATATTAAGAAGATGGTTATCTTTGAGGGAGATATAAATTTGGATTTTGATTTATAAAAAAAGTGTTTTGGGTGAAAGAGAAGTGTTTTTTGTGGGTGTTGTTTCTTTTCTTGAATTTGGTCCATGTTAGAATATTTGGATCCACATATTTGTTCTTTCTACTTATGTTTTTCTTTTCGGTTTTTTATTTCTCTTTCTAAAGTGTGGATAATTTGCGGGATGGTTTTCACCGATAATTTTATATTGCGTCGAGTAGAAATTGAGTGGCATAGAGACAAGTTAAAGGAAGAGTACATGGTGTGAAGAAGTATGTGATAGGGAGAGTTATAGGGTTGATTGAGTGATTGGTAGAGGGCAATCAACTGGTGTAATGCGGTAGTAGAGAGAGCGGTAGCAGAGAGAGATATTTGTCAACATATTGTCAAATATCTTGCTAGTTCTTTTTCACGTTGTGATCTTTAGGAACCATCACCTTTTTTTTACCAAATTTTGCATCTCATTTCTTGTGGTTCCCCTTTTTTTTTTTTGTTTTTTTTTGTTTTTTTTTGATCCCTCTTCACATGTCATGCAACTTTATTATTTTAACATTTTATAAGTTTATTTTAGGAATTTTGGCACAAATTTGAGCCCAGAAAAACTCTACGTCTCCAAATTGAGGGGGGATATTACCAGAAAAAGGTAATTTCACATGGATGTCGACAGTAAAGTCTACATGAAAGAAATATCGACATTGCTATTTGTACTATAAGGAAATGACTATGAGGACATGATGCACAACAAAAAGAGAAATTGTGACTGAATTTAGCGGATAGAAAGTAATATAATATATTAAGTGTAATGGATAGGAAAGTGTGTGTACTTATTGAAGGTGCAAATTATAGACGAGTTGTACTTATTCTCACTTGTTTCATTACCTTATATGTAGCAATTTTGAAAGCATCACCATTTGTGCATGATTTGCCATTAGTCATTTTCTATCTAGTCTCATTTATCTAAAAAATTTACACACCTAAATCCAATAGAAGTTCTTTTACTTCGAACCAACTTTTTAAATTTGATACTTTTGGATAACAAAGATCCGAGAAAGAAGAAAACATGCATGTTTGATCTTTTTTTAGCATCACCATCTGAGTATCAACAACTTTCACAATTATCTTAACCTTTTATCATTCTGCTGCTAATTCTAAATCATGCTAAAATGGAATCTCGTTTGAAGTGGATCTGAATATAGTGAGTGCTTCATGCAATAAAATTTTTCTAGAGAAGGGCAGTGAGGGGGTTTTTAGAGAGAGAAAATGGGAGGCTGCAAAGAGAAGGGCAGTGAGGTGAGGACGATGGCAGCTGGTGGTGGGTTGGAGGACGCGGCAGCCATGTTCCTGCCTGATTCGGGTGGTGAGAAGGGTGCGACAGTTGGCAGAGAAGACTGAAGGGAATGGCTGAGGGGCAGAGAGCAGGGAGAGAGAAGTGAGAGAGGCGGAGATCAGGGAAGGGGAGTGAGAGAGGGAGTAGTGAGGTGGCGGAAATGGGGGTGAAGGATGGTGGAAATGGGGTAGCAGAGTGGCTGAGAGGAAGAACAGTCTAGAGAGAGAAACAAATGAGGAAGAACAGTCTAGAGAGAGAAACAAATGGGGTAGCAGAGTGGCTGAGAGGAAGAATAGTAGGGAATACTATCATTTCTCCACACTGTCTACAAAAAATTTTCCTGTACTTTGAGTACAGTACATGGCACACCTCCAACCACACAATTTCACATCTAATGACGATGTAGGGAGGGGTTGTTTCCTGGTAAACTCTCAGTCCTGGTAAACTCTAAGTTTCTTCCTCATTTTGTTGCACCCACGCATGGCTTGTAGACCCTTTAATCCACGACAGCTCTTGCACTACTTCCGTCATTGTAGGCCTTTCGTCATCACTCAATTTCAGGCATTTAATGGCTACTTGAGCAACACCTTGCAGTTGGTGGATGCTTCCCTCACTCAGCACATTCACCTCCAAAATCTCCTCAAATTGGCGATTTTTTATAGATGATAGGAAGCGATTCGAAAGATAAGCATTGCATTGAGATCTCTCCTTGGAGAAGGGCTGCTCCCCAGTTAAAAGCTCAAGCATGACGACCCCAAAGCTGTACACATCGCTCCCGGCCTTAAACAATCCTGTTTGAATGAATTCTGGGTCTAAATAGCCCAAAGTTCCTTGTACCAATGTTGATATTTGGGTTATATCCATTGGAACAAGCCGTGAAATCCAAAAATCGCCGTACTTATGGTCCAAAAGAATGTTATCTGATTTCACACTCTGTGGAAGATTGGAAAGGAAGCATAAGAGTGCAGGTAAGCAAGGGCTTCTGCAGTTTCTATGGCTAATCTTAGGCGATTTGGCCAAGTGATTCGACTTCCAAAGTCACTCCTATGGATGTTCTTGCTAAGTGTGCCAATGGGTATATATTCATACACGGCACAGGGGTCTCCAAGGAACATCCCAAGAGCTTCACTATATTCTTGTGATTGATTTGAGAGAGTATGAATACCTCATTTATATATTGATCAATCAATCTCTGATCCACCATTTTAGGGTTCTTAATGGCCACCATTGTGCCATCGACCAGGGTTCCTTTCTTTGTACACAGTGCCGAAGCCTTCGGCACCTAAGATGTTCGATTCACTGTAGTTGTTGGTAGCCATTTTAAGTTCTGTCTGTGAAGATTTTCAGGGCGTTTTTGCCTTCTTGAGATGAAACTTGTTGTAACAAGAGACCTCCATTTTGGAGGTAGTACTGTTCTCTGAGCTTCATGAGCTTTACCTTCTTGATGAATAGACAGGTACTAACACCAAAAGCAAGTAGAAACCCAACACACATGCCCACGCCTGCTCCAAAATGTTTAAGCCAGAGAGTTCCATTCAATCATTAGAGAAAGATAATGAACATTGAAATGCATTGAGGTCAACAATTCTGTCATTCCGAACCATGGGTGATAATCGGGTCAGGTCCACTTCTGTACCACAGTTCTAAAATCAGCAGTTCAAAATGAATCTTGGCTAACTAGATAGACAAAAATCGATTTATTTACTATTTTGTTATAAATCTTATTTATATAAAAATTGAGATGTGCATGCATTTAATAAAACTCACCGAATAAAATTTGGAGAAACTGCTTTTGAAATTTGAGCTTAGTCATTTGAACAATTGCAACCACTCAATTTCAAATTCAACGATCAAGATTAATTGTGACCTCTATATATAATGGAATATACTTAAAAACTCTAATGAGTGAATTTCTATAGTATTTGCTTATGGCTTCTCACCATCCAAAGTCCATCATATGGTCATGATTATCTGATAATATTGAAATTTTAATAAGTTTTTAACAAATTATATTAACCTAATATTTTATGGGTGTATGTGCCTTAATAAGGAATACCTAAATACTATATTAGAAAAATCCAAAGCAATAAAACAACCAAATTACCCCAATGAATATTTCAATGGTAGTTTTGTAATTTTATTATTTGAGAATTATTTTTAAGTATTTTATTTAGGTGCAAGTTGGTTAGATGCACACACGATCCAACTTTTAGATAAATTATAATTTGTAAAAGAATTACAAAAATTCAGACACCTTCAAACAACCGTATGATGAACTTTGGATGTGATGAGCTAAAATGTTAATTGGCCTGAACCATACTCGGCGCCTCACTCGTATCGATATTGATGGAAGGGAAAGAAGGATTAGTTTCCAACCTAAATTAACTTTTAACAGAGGAAATGGTTGTTTGAGAGGTGTGCATCTAATCTCCTTTCTATTTGCCATCACCCGTGCTTCCTTTGGAACATTTGCAAGTATAATCAGGGACCGTGTTAATGCATTGAGCTCCAATCACACAATCATGATCCCCTCTCGAGCACTGATCGATATCTGCCATCCATAGAGTTTCATATGATGAAAGGTCATGAATGGAAAAACCTTTACATGAACTACTTCTAGCTTCTAATACATGCATTTTAGGAGGATTGCAGTTCCTCTGATTTTGGTGGGTTACATTATGATCTCAATCAATAGCCTAAAAATCTCATCCGGAGAAGGTCTCATTTGTTTGTTTGTTTTTTTTTTTTTCATGGTTATTTTTTTGAAATTGGTAAGGAACCTAAAAGCTAGGGAAATATTTTTTAGAAAGGAAATTAATTACATATTTAACTTTAAATATCAAGAAGAAGTTGTGAAATTCAGTGTTGTCAAATTCGCTTTGCTTCGGCCGAAGAAGTCGAAGCCTTCGGATTTTAGGCTTAGACCAAAGTGAAACCCGATGTTATCGTTTCGATCAAATTCAATTTGCTTCGGTCAGATTCGGGGCTGCTTCGGGCGGATTCAGTCGAAGCAAATAAATATTATATAAAAATATATATTTTTTTTGATTTTTTTCTATTATTTTAATATATTTCATATATAACTATTTAATTTATTTATATTAATTTTTTTAAAAAAACTGAAGCTTTCCCCAAATCGGTCAAAACACCTAACAGCTTCATTTTTCTCACCAAATCGAAGAATCCGATTGGGACCGGGCCATAGCCATGAATGGGCCGGCCTAGCCCTAGTGCCTAAGGGCCAAAGAAGCTTTAGTCCCTAAAGGGCTAGGCCCAAGAGGCGCTAACGCTGTCTCGGTTGGCCCGAGCCAAACACAATCCAGTAAAAAAAAAAAAATAAAAAAAAAAAGTAAGAAAAGAAGGTTGGGCTAGGCCAGGCCAAGAGAAGGGCTGGTTTGGACATGCATTGTCGTGTCCCTAACCTAAGCCGTCCTTGCTTGACTGGGCCCTCGAGCCACATCTTGTGGCCCAACCCTAAGTTTTTAGGGCCGCTTCGAGCTGCCAGGCTTATTGCCAGGCCTAATTGGACATGAAATGTTCCACATGGATAATAATTAGGGAAAATTATGGATACCCCCCAAAATGAACTTGATAGGCATTCTACCCCAAATACTTTTAGTACCACACCGACAACTCAGTCATTGTTATTTCTGGCTTAACCCCTCAATAAAAAAATAAATGTTTTGAAGACTAAACTACCCTCTCTCTGTCTTTCTTTCTTTCTACCTGTCATCTTTCTTTCTCTCTCTACTCACCTCCTCTCTCTATCCGCCCACCTCTCTCTTTCTCCACTCAGTCTCTCTCTCTACCCGCCCTCTCTCTGTACCCAACCCCTTCTCTCTCTAATATTGGGTGGAGAGATAGAGTAGTTAGAGAGATGGAGGGTAGGTAGAGAGAGAAAGATAGAGAGGGCGCGTAAAAAGAGAGAGTGTGGGGTAGAGAGAGTGTGGAAGGGTAGTTTAATCTTTAGAATATGTACTCTTTGACTAGGGAGTTAAAAGCAAAATAAAAAATAGTCAGCTGAGTTGTGGGTGTGATATTAAAAGTATGGAGAGTAAAATGTCTATATCGGTCATTTAAGAGAATATTTATAATTTTCTCTAATAATTATCTACACAAACTGAGGAGAGAGAGAACGCACTTACCTTGGCATCCTCCATTCAGGTATGGGTTCCCCTCATGGCCCCTGATGCAAGGACACAGATACCCGAAGCCCCTCTCAGAATCGTAGTACTCCGCGTTCTGCCCACATACATATCGAATGCCGGTGGAATTTGCAGTCGGCGGGCACCTCCCCTTCCCTTCCCTATCGCCCACTCCAGCACAATCGCCAGATCTGCTTTGTCCAGAAAATGGTGAAGATCCGTTTCAATGAATTTGCAGTTCTCAAGCTCTGCAAGGAAGTCATACGAGCACCAGCTGTAGTTCCCACTCAATGTGTGGTTCTTCAAACTACTAGCAAACACACGGAGGTGCTTCTTATGCTTGGGCAACGTTGTTTGGCAGCACCCGATTCCAGCACATAACCCGTTCACCACGGTGCTGTGGTTCGCACACAGTGACACACACCCGCTTGTGAAGCTCACTGTCTTTAACGTACCCCACAGCGTCGCATCCGATGGTTGTGAACACAGTCTTATTTGAAATAGTGTAAGGTCCGTTTCCCCTGAGTTTCACATAGGCGCCATTGTTGTTTCCATTAGTACAACTGTAGGCAAGTGTCTGAGTGGTGTTTACTCGGACCTCCTCAGCCTTCACGAGCGAGATGTTGAGTACTTGGAGGTTTCCCTTTCCAATGAAGGGCTTTGGTGGTATGAAGGAGCGATTGCAGGTTATGTCGAAGGCCTCCATGAAGCAACCCTCGTGGCCCATCCCGAAAGGGTATGGAATTTCTCTGTCTCCACATCTCTCCTCGCAGCCAGGCTTTGCCATGCTCACCAATGCAAAGACACCAAAGACTTTGAGATGAAGCACCCCCACAGCCCATAGCCATAGACTATTTTTCGCATCCGTGGTCCCTCTATAATATCCTAAATACCTCTTATTTTGGAGGCACCGGTGCTTTGAGTGGTTGACTCCTCTTAGAGTCTAATAAATTTTCCCCACTAAGTTTCAGTACTTGCAAAGCTTTTTTATTTTTATTTTTTTATTTTTATTTTTTTTAAGGTGGTTTAGGTATGAAAATCAACTTAAGATATAGCTTTGCTAATATCAACTGCTGACTACCCAAATCCAAACAAGTTTCGTATTAGAAACAAAGGTTTCCACGTTGTCGAAACCACATTGGGGTCTATTTTATAGGGCAATTGTGCTCTCTCCAGGGAGAAAGAGGGAGGAAGATATGGGCATGCAGTGGTTTTTGTGCGACTCAGGAAAGTGCCACTTTTTTTCCACATTTGTTGTTGCTTTCAACCTTTTTTTTTTTTACTTTTATTGTGCGCAAAAGTTAGGCTTAAATTCCCTCATTATCCTAGACTTTGCTTTTGAGAGTCGTTTTTATGCCTAGACTTTGCTTTTGACAGTCGCTTTTTATGCCTACATAGGAAAGTAAAATTTTAATTTCATGCTAAATTATTGAACCAAAATTACCCATTGTTTCCTAGAGGGAATTTTAATTTATTAATGGGTTATGTACTTTCCTCCACAATTCTCACAGGAAGAAGTACGACCACCATATGGACACGAGTGTGTTGGTGTATTCTTTTATTCCTTTCACATGACTTCAAATAGGGATGGTTCTATCACTATCAACCATGTGATGAAAGTATTTTTTATATGGAAAATAATAACTCATATACAATAGTAGGAGTTGGAGATGTGAGAATCAAGATGTTCAATCTAGGCATATACACAATCTCGAGTGTCAAGACATGTTTTAGGTCTTAAAAGGAGTCTCCCATCCTTGAAAAAGTTTGATAAGCAAGGTTTCACGTTTACAGGTGGAAATAGAATTCCAGAAGTTTCAAAAGGAGAGTTAGTAGACAATTTGTATAGACTTGTTGAAAAAATAATTTTGGGAGATGTCGATATTGCAGAGGTGGACTCTATCGCGACATGGTATGTGCATTTGGGTCACATGAGTGAGTGTGGACTCAAGGTACTTCTCAATAAAAACCTTCACCTTGGTTTAAAATCTTTTTATTTAGATTTTTGTGAGTCATGCTTATTTGGAAAGCAGAACAAATTGTATTTTGCTTTATCCATCACTAAAAGTAACGATTTTTTGGAATAGAATCATTTGGACGCTTGGGAATTACATGTTGTTTCTATGGGGGGTACTGCAGATTTTGACACTTTTACTGATGATTTTTTAATAAAAGCGTGGGTTTATATGTTGAAAAAGAATAAGATGCCTTCAGTTGTTTGTAAAAATTTAAAGCCTTATTACAAAATAAAAAATGTCTTGCATTAAATGTTTAAAAACTGATAATGAAGGATAATTTTGTTATGGTGAATTTAATAATTTTTGTAGTAATATGAGATTGCAAGACAGTTGACAGTTCCTGGAACACCTCAGCAAAACAGTGTTCTGAAGAAGATGAATCATATCATTATGGAGTGTGTCATGTATATGTTGAGTGCTGTTAGGTTAGAGCAGTGTTTTTGAGCAGAAGCAATTCATACAACTTGTTTCCTAATTAATAAATCTCTCAGTTTTTCTATTGACTGTAAGACATCAAAAGAGGTTCGGACAGGTAAGCATGTTGATTATTCTTTCCTTTGTGGTTTTGGTTGTAACACATATTCTTTGATTTCAAAAGAGATGAAAAATCCAAAAAGTGTGTTTTTTTTTGCCATGTTGATAATATAAAGGGCTTTGTGGGATCTTATTGACTACATGATTATAGTTAGCTGACATATTATTTTTCATAAAAATTTCATGTAGAAAAAAAAAGAAAAGAACCAGATACAAAAATTATTGATGTAAAATGCACCTATAAGAACCAGCAAAATAGCGTTGAGGACCCGTTTGCATGGTCTCACTCAACACACGAGGGCTTCCAATTTGCAAAGGTAATATAAAATTACTAGCTCGGTACAAATGGTTTGAACAATATTGGCTTTTTGCTTTTGGACTTTCCTTTGGTAGCTACCCATTTTCCCACGTACCATTCCCAGGCCTTTTGTCTGGCAAAATAATTCGCTTGGGCCAAGCCATCTTTTCTAGTTTAAATTTTATTTGTGGATAGTTTTAATTTTGGCGCATGTCCACGAGAGTTGATTAACGACTTTTTTTTCTCGAGTAAAAAAGTTATTTAAAAACATTTATGAAGCTCGGGTTCCACCTTAACATACATAATGGGATTATTTTCACAAAAAAAAGAAAAAAGATTTGAGTTCAACGCTTAGATCTAACATCTAAAATTGGACAATTTATGTTCAATTTTAAGACATTTCATTCAGGTGCTTTTGAAAAACACACTCCATATATTCTTTCCTTGCTGACATATTCTTTCCTATATTCTCTCACTCTAAATATCTAAATCCATTGTCTCTTATCCTCTCTCATCAAAAACCTCTTCGTTTTCAATGGACACTTCATCCTCATCAAACAAGGATCTCTATCCCTATGTGGTTAGTGCAGGAAATTTTGTGCTTATTAAATTGACATAGAATAATTATTTGTTGTGAGAAACTGAAATGCTTTCACTGATTGAGACTCAACAACTTTTATGATTCATTAATGATGACTTTTTAAACCAAATCAAAATTTTTCCTCTCCTGATGGTAAGAGCAATTGAAAATCCAGATTACAAATCATGGCTACAAACCGACCGACTTCTTAAAGCTTGGATCATAGGGAATCAGAAGAGTGTATCGGCCTCATTGTTGGCTTTAAAACTTCCATAGAAAGTTTGGAAATGCATGAATAATGCATATACATGTAATTCTCAAAGTAGAGAGTTCCAACTTACTCAACAACTCCAATATTATAAGAAAACGATATTGACTATCGGAGCACATACGCAAATTCCAGGGTATTTGTAGTGATTTGGAAGCTTTTGGCAAACCTGTATGAGGTCAAAATAATGTATTTTGGCTTTTTAATGGACTTGGACAGAAAGATGAGAGTTTGCTACCACAATGCATAAGTCTCATATTCCTTGCTATTATGAGATTACAGCTCTTCTTCAGAGCCATAAAATTAGAAACCAACTTCATTTCTCTGAAGAACACTCATATCCAAATTAGAATATGGCTTTTCCTGGACAATAGAGAAATTTTGGAACTAATAGAGGTAATATGAGATACAGAGGTAGAGGCAGAGGCAAAAACAAATTTAGTCGTCTAACAGCTTTTCAACTCTTGAGGATGTGGGTTTGTTCAAATAGGCCACAATAATAATGAGGAATAGGGTGTACCCCAGAAAAACCAAGGAGGTGATGATGCATCTCCAATCAAAGTTGTCAACAAGATCCCTAGAAACAATTTTCGTCTAAAAAACCCAAGGAAAAATGTCAAATTTGTAGAAAATTTGGTTATACTACATGAAATTGTTGGCATCAGTTCAATCATACATACCAAATAGAAGATTCTCAAAACCCATAATAGTTTATGGACACTGGTGCCTCAACTCATATGACAGGAGACCTAGGTAAAGTGCAAAACCTTCACCTTTATAGTGGTACACATACATTTATAGTAGGCAATGATGAGCAATTGACTATTTTACATGTTGGTGATGTAAATATTGATGTTGAGTTTGAAAAATTTAATATTTCTAATGTTCTTTTGGTGCCAGAGATAAAAAAGAAGTTATTATATATAAGCTAGTTTACAAAAGATTTTCCTTTGTATTTTTGAGTTCCAATCAAATGGTTTTCTGATAAATGAAAGAAGCATAAGGATACTTCTAATAAGCAGGAGTAGCTAGGGCGGACTGTATGCACTTGAGGATGTGAAGCAAGTTTTGTTTTCTCATCATAATAAGAAGATGTATGACATCAACGGCTCAAAAATCCTCAAAATAAATTAGTCGTTATATAGAATCTACACAGTTGATTAGTGTGGATGAATGTCATAAATCTCATTCTGTTTTTGCTAGATGTTAGATGGGAAAAGTTGTAATTCTCATTTAGTATTATTGATAAGACCTCTACATTACTTCTTTTTACCATTCATTCATATTTATAGGGTCTTGCTCCCATTTATCTAATCAAAGTTATCACTTTTATGTGATGTTTGTGAAATATTATACTCATTTTTTCTTAGATCCATCATTTGAAAAGAAAATCTGAATTTTTTTTAGCATTTGTGAAATTTCATTGCATATGGTGGAAAGGAAATTTGAAAAATGAATTCGAATTTTTCAATGTAATGAAGGTGGTGAGTTTGCTAAGAAAGAATTCATTCCTCATCTTAGTGATAATGGAATTATGTAATACATATCATGTCCAGGTGTTCCAAAACAAAATGAGATAGCTGAAAGGAAACGTAAAAATATTATAGAATTACATCTTACAATGTTATTTCATATAGGAATTCCTAAACAACTTTGGATTGAAACTTTCCATCCTGCAATCTTTGTAAAACACTAGGATTCTTGAATTTTGTTTCTATTAAATCCTCCTTTCTCATCCGGTCTTAGGACTGGCAATGGAACCGAAAATGCTCCACATACCCCCATATAATACAACACTATTATGGACATTGTTGTCTTGAGGGATTGCTCTCTCCATGAGAGTTCTAAATAATTGGCCAGAGTCAGCAGAATTTTTTTGATGCCAAATTTTGAATTAAAAGAATAGGTGGGCACATGTTTCTTTTATTGCCAGGGTGGTAAATCTGAAATGTGAAAAGTTTGACACATAATACTTTTTGATGCTAAATTTTGTATTACACAGAAATGGATTGCCAAAGTGGAGTTTCCCCTTGCTATTTGAGCTTGAGTCTTTCTAGTGTTTTAAAATCCAGATGGACAGATGGATCTGCTGTTCATTGGACCCATCCCAATTGGGCTAAAAAAAAAAACAAAAAAGCAAATAGTTGTATAGAGCCATCTTTCCTATATTTATATTTCAATTTTTATTTTTATAAACCATCAATAAAACTTAGGAAAACATGGATTTTTTGGTAAACTATTTGGGGGTGGATATGCTTTTAGGAATTCTAAACTTCCGGTGAATTACTTTTGAATCATTTTTTTTTGGTTTCAATCAGATTGAATTACTAATTCACCGATTTTGAATCTTTCTCTGCCTTCAACCATAGATATGCTGCTTTCAAAGTTTGATAGATTTGAAACATTGATTCAAATGATTTATTAGATCACTGAATGAAATGAAACTAATTCATTCTTGAATCAGGCAATTCTAAATCATTTAAAATCGTCTCTTTATTGGTAGCAGAATCTTTATCTTGATTCAATTCTTGAACTTTAGAAAACAACAGAATTTCTCAAAGCTAATAATCATTCCAGTTCTTGAAAAGTGACAATCAATCCCCAGAGACAATAATTTACATTAATAGCCATGGATACAGTAGGGATTCCCGACAACTGACTTTACACAATATTGTTGAATTGATCTAAGAACTGTTAGGATTTCCATCACTAGGGAGGAAGTATTGTGACTTAGTGAGGCCTCGATAACTTCCTAATTTTGGTCCATCCATGCATCTTGTGAAGACCCTCTAATCCAATTTAGTTCTTGCACTACATTCTTCATTGTAGGTCTTTTCTCTCCGCTCAATATCAAGCATTTCATAGCCAACTCTGCAACATCTTGCAATTGCTCAATGCTGCCCTCCCTTAGAACATTCTCCTCCAAAATCTCTTCAAGATGGTTCCCTTTCAAATGGGATATAAAATACAAAGCTAGGTTTGCATCATCTTGAGATCTCTCTGAGGAAACAGGCTTTTCTCCGGTTAAAAGCTCTAATAAAATAATCCCAAAACTATAAACATCGCTCTTAGCTGTCAGGTGCCCGGTTCGAAAGTATTCGGAATCTAGATACCCAAAAGTCCCTTGCACCAATGTAGATATCTGGTTTTGGTCCATGGGGACAAGTCGTGAGACCCCGAAATCTGCTACTTTTGCAGTATAGTTATGGTCTAACAGTATGTTGGATGACTTAACATCTCTGTGGAAGATCGGCATGCAAGCTGCAGTGTGCAGGTAAGCTAGTGCTTCGGCTGTTTCTAGGGCTTTCTTAAGCTGCCCGGCCATGTTATTCGATTTTTTGGGTCATTTTCATGGATGCGTTGGTGGAGTGTCCCATTGGGGATGTACTCATAAACCAACATGGGAACATGAGTTTCAAAGCAACAACCCAAGAGCTTCACCACATTCCTGTGGTTGATTTGAGTGAGTGATGACTTCATTTATAAACTGATGTATTTGGGTTTGATCCACCACTTTAGCCTTTTTAATGGCTACAATTGTGTGGTCCTCTAAGGTTCCCTTGTACACAGTGCCATAGCCTCCACTACACATTTGATTCTTCAAAGTTGTTGGTGGCCTTTTTTAGCTCTTTGGTTGTGAATATCCTTGGGGCCGTGATGCCTTGTTGACTGGACACTTTTTGAAGTAACAATAGACCTCCATTTTTGCTCAAAGTAAAGCTTTTGGAGCTTCATCTTCTTCATTGCTAGGTACGTCCATATGCTAATTGCGGTTAGAAGCGCCCAGCCGATTCCACCTGCTCTCAATGTTTCGCATAAACATTAAGGTTAGGATATTTTATGTAGCTATCATGAGAATGTTAAGAAAGGGATTGTTTAAAAAGAGACCATTTACCTTTTGTACAAGAAGTTCACAATTATTTTTGTCCTTTCGATTTCAAAATTGATAGGTGTATGAGTGTCATTAATTAGACACAAAATTTCAAAAACAAAATTCTTGGACTTCATGACTCACCCCAAGCCATCCAATTTCACATGAGTGAGAATATTTATGACCTCTTGTACAAAAGATAAAAGTTACAGTTTATAAGGAGCTTAGGCTCTAAACAATCAAATTAGAGCCTACCTTCAAATAGTGTCGAGAAATGCGGTTTTAATGCTAAGAATCTTTGTGATAACTTTGAAATATATTTTCGTCTTTTTTTATAAAGTTTAAAGCTTAAAAAATAGTGTAGATCGACAGATCTATGAAAAGTTGAAAATCTTGAAAATTGACAGTCCAAAATTATGTTACAAAATACATTATTTCCAAAACTTGAAATCCGTTTTTTCCTCATGTCCATGCATCTTGATGTCGAGATGTTCAATTTGAGGATATTAGGGTATCAAAACAACCTTTTTTAGTGAAATTTTTGAGGTAGGCTCGAATTTGATTATTTAGAGCCTCTGCTCTATATAAACTTTTCCCAAAGATTTCCTAAAGATAAATGGTCTGTCAGCAGAGACTCCTGTTAAGAAAGTAGACCTCTGTTGAGATTTTGTTTTTGACTCTAGCCCTCCCACTTTTTATAGAGAGGCAGATGGACCGATTTGTCCCTATTTAAAAATCTAAATCCTAAAGCCTTCTCTTCTCTTATCTCTCATTGTTTCCCCATGGTTCTTTCCTCCTCTCACAATATCCCTTTGAAACCCACACATTATCCCTTATTCTCACATTCTCTCCCTAAAAATCCAACTCATGCTCAAATTTTCTCGAAAAACCCAGTCCGGTCTCTATTCCTCTCACATTATCTCTTTAACAACATACATATTTTTGCATCCTCTTATATTATCTGTCTAAAATTGAAATCAAAGAAGAATAGAGGGAAACAGAAGAAGCGTAAATTTCTTTTTTCAGTTCTTTAGAGACTCCAAGGATGCAATTTCTCTCTTTTACTTTTCTGATTTTATTCTTAGAGAGAAAATGTAAAAGGAGGGAAAAATAAGGTTGGTTTTTCTAGAGAGAATGTGAGAATGGAGAAGAACAAACGAGGTGTTTAGAGAGATAATGTGAGAGGAAGGAATAATGAGTGTGTAAGAGAGAGGGAAAGAGTTTAAAGCATTGGGTTTTTAAAGAGAGTCCCAAGAGGGAAGAAAGAGACATGAGAAAGAAATGTGTATAATGAGAGAAAACTCTAATGTTTTATTTTTAAAAGTGATTTACATACGGATTTTAAATTTTTTACATAGAAGGTTGGTCAACCTGTTTTTTATATTTTTTTTCAAAATTGCCCTCGATCAATCCGAATTTGATTTTTATTTTTTATTTTTTTTGTTAGTAGGGAAAAGTAGTCCATTTATGACTTACCTCTTCATTAAAAAAAAAAAGAAAATAAAAGGTAAGAGAGCGAAAGTCAAAAATAAAATTTTAAAAAGCTAATATCTTAAAAACAATATTTTATAAGGTTTTTTTTTCTTAAAATCCGCTAAAATAAATGACATATCAAAATGCGAATGAGAGAGAGAGAGAGAGAGAGAGAGAGATCTTTTTAACCGAGTACAATTTTGAGAAGAAAATGTGAGTCTGCATCCTAAGGCTTGCTTGCTTCTTTCCATCACCTGGTCTCCATGTGGGACATTTGCACGTGTAGCTACCAATTGTGTTACGGCATGTTGCTTGGGGGACACATTTGTAATTTGGATATTTGTTATCTAACTTCGAGCACTCGTCAATGTCCGCCATCCATTAAGGTTAGTATGATTAGGTGATCCACTGATTTAAGGACGAACACAAATACTATGCTCCTGGAGGAGCAGGGTTTACAGCTACTCTCTCAGTAAAAAAACATATTTGGGAGGATGTTTTCAATATGAAAATTTGAAAACCACTGAGGAGATGATTATTCTCAAAAGAAAACCAAAAAAAATAAAATTTATGAAAATTAACTTTTATGAGATTCAGATATTGCCCTCTAAAAAATGGATGTTCTCTATTCAATCCCGAGACGTTAAATATTTTTTCCAGGCATAAAGGGTGAAATTAGGAAATTTTTTATTATTAAAGTTTCTAGGCATAAAGGGTGAAATTAGGAATTTTTTTATTATTAAAGTTAATCTAGAGACTGAAGAGTTAAAATCCCAAAAATGGGATCCTAAAATTTAAGAATAGCTTACAATGAGACTTTTTACTTTTGTTACAAGATGGTCACAATTAATCTTAACCATTGAATGTGAAATTGGTCGCTGCATTTATTCTATTAACCAAGTTGAAAGTCCAAAATAAGTTTTTTCGAAACTCTCAAATCTTGACTATGATGTGGACATTTGGGAAGCAACCATGGAGTTAGGGAGACTTGTTTGATCCCAAACTCTCCAATCATGGATATGATATAATGGTGCGGTTTGTATAGAGCCGAGGCTCTAATCAATCAAAGTAAAGCACACCTTCAAATAGTATCACGAAATGTGGTTTCAATATTGAAAATTTTTGTAATAGCCTTAAAATATATTTTCATTTTTAATTATAAAATTTAAAACATAAAAAATAGTGTAGATCAAGCAAATCTTTGAAAACTTGAAAATCATGAAAATTGACGGTCCAAAAAATGCGTTACAATATACACTATTTCCAAAACTTGAAATCCATTTTTTTTTTCACGCCCATGGGTCTTGATATCCAGACGATCAATTTGAGGATATTTGAGTATCAAAATCACCTCTTCTAGTGAATTTTTTTTGAGGTGGGTTTCAATTTGATTGTTTAGAGCTTCGACTCTATACAAACGTTTTCCATGATATATTGGTTAAGAAAATAAAGACTTGGAACCAAAAACTACTCCGAATTACTTCACCTCCCTCTAAACGCTTGAACTGTTCATTTTGATGGATGGACAATTTAAAGACAAAAGTTACCTTCTGTGCATAGTGGGACAACTCTAAAAGGTGAATTTAGTGAAATGTTTGTAGTGGCAGGCCTGGCATGGGTGCCTAGCATCAACGTCCTTGGATGCACATGGACGGCAGATGGTGGTCTGGGTATCCTCTTCAATACTCTTTTTAACTATAAAAATATTTTTCCTAAACCAAATATGAAACATGACTCGAATGGCTGGCCAATACTCTCCATAACCGACCATCACATAGTGATGCCCAACAAAAAGCTGGCCCTCTTTCTTGGGTAGTTCAGTGATAGGATTTGAACTTGGAAAAGTCATGCCCAAGCCGATGAGAGAGCTAATGTTCAAGCATGGCATCCTTTGATACAATTGAACAGGGTCGTATATGTGTGTGTGCACGCGTGTGTATGTGTATAGAGTCAGGGACATCGTCCGGTAGCGTACCGTTATGGTAAGGGTTCCCCTCGTAGCCTTTAGTGCAGTTACAGACGTAACCATATCCCCTCTCCGAATCAAGACTTATTGAATTCTCACCACAGGCATAGGGAATATGAGATGACCTCGCAGTAGAACACGTCTCGGTCCCTATAGCCCAATCCACCACCATTGCAAGATCCCCAAGCCCTCCAAACCTTTAAGCAAAGACCTATTGAAAGTGTATCCCTCGTCCTCAGACAAGAATGCATAACTTCAATTACTGAAGCTCGTGGTCTCATTGAAGTTCATCAGACTTCTAGCTGAAACATTAGCCTGTGT